TTTTTTTACATTTAAAATTTGTTACTTTTTTAAAAATATTTCTTGCAATTCTATAAATTCTTTAAATTTTTTTATTACAATGCTTTGGGGGAAGCAGTGGATGGTGTTAGAAGTTTTTTTTATTTATATATATTTTTTTTACATTTTTTAAGAGACCTGTTGAGGGTCTTTAGTGAGCTATCAGGTGTCTAAACAGACCCATGAAGTCTCACTTTTGAGACAGAGAAAAGGACTGAGGATACGTTCTCCAGTCTTTCTCTGTAACCCCAGCTGCACTGCAGATTGAAACAGAGACAGAGGCTTCTGTTCCATTCATAAACTGAAACATAGACACAGTTTACTTTGCTTCAGTTATTGATGGACAAAGTAAGTGATCGACACACCACAAAACTTGTCCTGCAAATGTAACTGTTTGTTATACGGTTTTTATATTTGCACTGACTACTTCATTGTTTTGTTGCAAGTGCACTAGTATGGCTACAATCACCCTAATAATATATAATAATGTCCTTGCTATAGATGCTGACTATTTGCCTCCCTCAAGAAGCCACACTGGAAAACTACTAGGACATTGCTAAGAGACGACTAGCTTTTACTGTTCTCACGTTCTCCATGACAGGAGTGCACTCTCAAACACTGAGCTCAGAACTATTGCATCAGGGGGGAGAGAGCGAGCTCTGAGGTGATCTGTGATGGTGGTGGTGAACATTACCAGCTAGGCTTCTCTTAGCAATGCTGTTTTCCAGTCAGCCTTCTTGAGTTACGTAAATGGCCTACACCTATAGCAGGGGCATTATTCAAAGCTGGTCAAAGCTGCACAGCTTATTATCCCTTCTCTGCATAATCTATTTTTTGATAAAGGTTAACCATGCAATTAAAGAGTAGCTTCAAGGCCTCAGCGAAATCCCCCCACTCACTCTTGGGGATTGGCACCTTTGGGGAGTGGGGGGGGGTTAACGGGTACCTGATTTTAACAGTACCCCGCTCCAACCTCCGCTGCAACCCCCCCGCCTACGTAATTGGGAAGTAGTAGTTGCTCTCTCTACCTCCCTGTAGTCTTCTGGGACACGTGACAGGTCCCAGAAGACTACGGGACCATTCGCAATGCCCAGTGCTACTCATACATGCGCAGTGGGCACCCGGCTGTGAAGCCTCAAGCGGTGACAGCCGGGTACCCACACTTATAAAATAGGTAGTGAGCGCTCTAATAGATGTCAGCAGCTAGAACACAATAGGCAACCACAATGCCTTAAATATAAACAGTCAAACTAAAATAATGAAGTGCAGCGCTAAGAAGAATAAAAAGTCAATAGAGTGATAATCTGGTATCACAATGGTGTACTGTAGAGGTACGGAATCCCACGGCTTCCACTTTATCAGAATGACAGAAATGCGCACTCACCGGAAACGCATGGGTTATGCGCATGTGTGATTATGCATCACGGGGAATGGGAACATCAGAATCCAGGCAGCCAGGCGTCTCCCTCACGGTGGGTCATCACAGACTCCTGTAACAGGTCCGGGGGATCCCCTTAAGGTAAGCCAGTTGTTCCCTTCTCCAGGAAAAAAACCTCCTCTCAGGAGGCAGTAAGCATATGGTACATCATCCACGGCAAAATGGCGCTGCCGTGCTCGCGCATGCGCAGTGCGCGTTTGTCTTCGGGAAAATGGCCGCGGCTCATTGCGCATGTGCCAGTTCCCTTATTTCTTACACTGGCGTCAGTCACGCTGCTGTGCAGTCTCCCCTCTGATGATGTGCCTCTAGCACGAAAGGCCTAAGGAGGAACTGCACAGAGCGTGACGTCTTATACCCGCCGGAGCCACGAGGAGGCCCGGCGTTTTACACCACTGGGGGTCAGTACTGCATTTGTTTACTTTATGTACTTCACATATCATGATGTACCATATGCTTACTGCCCTGCTGCTATTTGATGATTAAACCTGAGATTTTGAACATACTACACTATTCTGGGCATTTGTTTTCTGGGGCTCCTATCTGGAGCTTTCACTCCCATAGAGAAAGCACTTTTTTGCCATCCTGAGAGGAGGTTTTTTCCTGGAGAAGGGGAACAACTGGCTTACCTTAAGGGGATCCCCCGGACCTGTTACAGGAGTCTGTATGACCCCACCGTGAGGGAGACGCCTGGCTGCCTGGATTCTGATGTTCCCATTCCCCGTGATGCATAATCACACATGCGCATAACCCATGCGTTTCCGGTGAGTGCGCATTTCTGTCATTCTGATAAAGTGGAAGCCGTGGGATTCCGTACCTCTACAGTACACCATTGTGATACCAGATTATCACTCTATTGACTTTTTATTCTTCTTAGCGCTGCACTTCATTATTTTAGTTGACTGGGTACCCACACTTAGGATGTCAGGGTGCGAGGACGACCAGTGAACCAATACACCGCTGGATTGTGGGACAGGTGAGTGTCTGTTTTTTAAAAGTCAGCAGCTACAGTTTTTGTAGCTGCTGACTTTTATTTATTATTTTTTTTTTCGGTTTGACTGGAGCTCTGCTTTAAGTGCAGCCAAAATGAAAAACAGAAAATCAGCACAAAAGACATATAATGGTCGGTAGGATGTGTCCCTTGTACTGAGGCCTCTTTAGTTATTTGACATTTTCATCCATAAATGCTGATGGTGAATAGTCTAGTATCATAAGTGACGTCATAGTACATAATCCATATTTATAATAATGGCAGCCATAGAAATGAATAGACCTGTTGCATATTGCTTGTTGTAGTGGGACAGGTTTTATGAATTATGTTGCTTTTATTGCTTATACAAGTAATTTTTTTCACCTTCTGCAGGTTCTCTCAGAGAAACGTCACCTAGGAAGTAAAGATGGACCACCACACCTTGTTGTATTGGTTGCATTACATTCTAGGTCAAACACAAAGAACCTCCTGGGTCTGATACAGGTTAATGAAGGTGATATTCTGCAGGAAGATGATGGAAAAAGTTGCAGTTTTGCTTTTGTCAGTCCCAAGCAGAAACAGAGATGGTGCTTTGTTGAAGCAAACAAAGGTGAGGATAAATGTTTTGTTATCCCTTTTTAAAGCACTTGTGTACTTAACGTTTTTGTTTTGCATAGGACAGGTAAGAGTTAAAAGCTGTTTATTTTCTTTCTGTTTGTGTCCCATTGGGTAAAGTTCTCTTCACTTCCTGTCTTGGAGCTGCAAAAGGAAGTGCAAAGCAATCTCTAAAATTGGGAAGAATTCCCCTCTTAGACATCTGTCACTAGAACTGGCATCACCTGTCAGATTTGCTGTCATCTCGTGTTCTGGGGACAACTGAAAAATTTCCCTTTGCTTACTTTCTAAATGACAATGGTAACCAGGGCTAAAAAGAAGGGTTATTTACTTATTTGGGACACAGACAGCAGAAAAACATTACATGCCTTTTAATCCTTACCTAAACTTTCCAAAAAATGTTTTAGCTCTCTATACACTTTAGGAATGTTGCAAAGTTGTTATATGGGTGTCTTAAATATGTGTTCTGCTCTGTCCTCAGACGATCTGCATTCTTTGCTGGACCTGGCTAAAGTGGCTGATACCCTCCTCTTTCTTCTGGATCCTCAGGAAGGATGGGACAGTTATGGAGATTATTGCTTGTCTTGTTTGTTTGCTCAGGGCCTGCCCAGCCATGGTAAGCAATTGAAATAAATATGTAGTCTATTATTACTAGTTTCGATTGTACTTAGTTTTGACCTTCTGCACTATTAGAGGAGACACCACAGTCATCTACCATTATTGGCTGATAGTATCTTTAAGTGTCTTTACATGCAGAGTCAAGTAAATGGGTCACTTAACTCCCTCTTCCTCTCTTTTTCCAAGCAGAATTTACTCAACTTTTTTCACTCCTCCACTGCACTGTTTAGCCATTGAAAATGTCACTTTAGAGCCTATGCAGGACTTTCCTTCCCTGGTCCCAACAGCCAGATGTAACTACGCAGGGGCTAGGAGAGGCAAGTGTATGTTGCTGGGGAGGTGGGAGTTAGGTGATCCTTTTACCTTGCCCTGCATGGGCAAAAGAAAAGATTTACTTGAATCTTCATATTAGCTGTACTATAATTAATTATTATAACACTAGTGATTGCACAGTCACATTATACTGTGTATGTTGAGCTTTAAACAAGCAGCCATATTGTAGTACTTTATTTCATGTTTTATACATTGAAATCGGATACCTGACTCTGCTTTTGGCATTTATTTATTACAGGTACTTATATAGCGCCATTCTTTACATATTTTGTACATTTCACATCAGTCCCCAACCCTCAAGGAGCGTAAAATCTGAGGTCTCTAACTCACATTCATACAGACACATACTAGGTCCACTTTAGACAGGAGCCAGTTAACCTACCAGCATGTCTTTGGAATGTGGGAGGAAACTGGAGTACCCTAAGGAAACCCACACAGGCACAGGGAGAATATGCAAACTCCACACACAAGAAGTGCCGTGATTGGGATTTTAACCAACGACATTGCAGGAATTATCTTTACTCCACATTGTATTTGTGAGGCTCATAATAAAAAGTATTGGATCTTTGTTTTAATGAGGACATTTGGTGTATGTGTATCGTTTCTGATCAATCTTCTGTTTACTTTTGCTTTAGTTGTTGCTGTACAAGGTATGAATGAAATTTCAATTAAAAAAAAGACGGATGTAAAGAAACAGCTGTGTAAAGTCATTGAGAAGAGATTCCCTGATGCCAAGCTCTTCCACTTGGACACTGCACAAGAGGCTGCCATACTCTTAAGACAGATGGCCACTCAAAAGCAGAGACATTTGGCATACCGGAACCGCCGATCATATATTTTGGCACACAAAGCTGATTTCCAGCCATCTGATGACACAGGCCTGGTGGGCACATTAAAAGTGTCTGGTTATGTGAGGGGACAGGAACTCAATGTCAATGGACTGATTCACCTTGTTGGCTATGGTGATTTCCAGATGAGTCAGATTGATGCCCCTCCAGATCCTTACCCAATGAATATTCGTGTTCGCAAAGAGAAGGCAAAGAAAGGACAAGATGTGAATATGGAGGTATATTTTTGGTGTGACACATCTTTTGTAATCTTTTGACACTTCGCAAATGCGTAACAGAATACCTTCAAGAAATGTTGAACCTATCAAACTGAATTCTTTCAAATCCATCTTTCTGGTAGCCTCGTTTGATGTCATATCTGGTGACACCATATTTTGCTAGAAAGCAAATTCTGAAATTATTCCAGTTTTATCACGGCATAGTATTGGAACTTGAGGCATCCACCGAACCGGGCCTTGGACTAGACCAGCTTTCAGTCTGTCTGAGCTATTATTGCTCTAAGTGTGTGCATGACTGAATACTGGTTTACATTTTAGTTCTGCGACAGATTTTTTTTTTTTTTGCTCTGCTTTGCTGATTATTATTGTAAAATAGGATTTTTGTATTCCCAGTAAAATCCTTTTCTCTTGAAGATCCATTGAGATCTCCTTGTTTTGATAGTTGTCTCCTATGCTTTTTGATGACTTGCTACAACTATGCAGGCATAATATGGGAGGGGATGAAGGCTGACCTCCACTTTTTTGTTTTGTTTTATTTGCCAAGTGACAATTTCTCCTGTAGTTGGCAGCATAACACTAGGTTGCTTAATGTGAAACTGTGCCACTCATCAGACTCCGAGAGAAGGTTTTTACAGTGGGTACAAAAGTCGTATCTTGCATTTTTTTTTTAATGTGCATTAAGTGACATAGCTTTTTATTAAAGTGACAAAATCTGGTTTAAAAAATCTATTCAAGCATGTATTCTTATTTAAAAAAAAAATACCTTTTATTGCTCTCAGCATCCAATACATATCCCAGTTCTTCTTTTTGTTTGGCTGTAGGAGTACAGCCACTCTTGCTCATTCCCAAAATGGACTAGGGACTATGAACTATATGATCTGTAATGTGCATAGGACAGCAACTACCTTGCACTGCTTCTTCCAATCGAATGGAAGTGAGGGGGGGAAAAGGAGAGTTTTGAGAGCTGAAATTGTATTACGTGCCATTCAGTAGTGGATGGATTATTTTGGAGAATACGGATTTAATTTAGCATCACTTTAGGCAGCCTAGGGATGTCCAAAGGCAGCCAACAACAGAGGGGTCGGCACAAATAAACAACACAGGAAGATCAAACCCAATGAAAGAACCTGCAGCTTGATAACACAAAAAGAGAAAATGTGAGCATTGTAGAGTTATTTGCAGAATGTTTACCCTGAAACTGCCATCTGCAGACACAAATATCCACTTGGTTGAACTTAAAAAAGCGCATTAAACAAAAGACCAGGTCAGAGTCTCGTAGGCCTAAAGATGTCTGATGATGAAAAGCTCAAGAAGGGCTGACTAAGTACAACTAAGCAGGAATGGTGTAGGAGGCGTTCTAGTCCCAAGTTTTTTGTGCTTAGTGTCCTTTTTCTCTGTAGGTGGCAGTATAACCCTAGGTGTGTCCTTTTTTTTTCCTATAGGTGGCAGCATAACCTTAGGTTGCTTAATGTGAATCTGTCCCTCAGTGGACTATAGAGAAATAGCAGTTTCCCAAATAAAATAATAAAAATAAAATAATGGAGTTTTAGTACTTGAAATTGTCAGTCCACCGAAAAATCAGACCGTGGAACCAAGACTGTTCTTTTTCAGGCCACTTGATGTATACTGGCACAGGAACGTATAAACTCTGCCAGGGTTGTCACTGAAATGGATAGCAAACTGATGTATCCACTGCTTTCAACACAAACATAAATTAATAGGGTGTTAGTTGACATGATCCTTAATGTGTGCAAAGTTTGTCAAAAGAGGTTGGTTGGTAAAAGGACTTACTACCATGTTTCTTTGTAACTGCTTCCATTATAGGATGAACCCAATAATCCAGAGATGGAAGAGGATGTGAAGGTCCTAATGAAAGCTGATCCAACTGCACAAGAATCTCTTCAGTCTGAGGTGGTCCCTGACCCTATGGAGGGGGAGCAGACATGGCCTACTGATGAGGAGCTGAGGGATGCAGAGGGTGAGTCTTAGCATGGCATTCTCTTAAAAAAAAAAAATCATGTAAATCAATGTTTTTTATGTGGGATTTCATCACCTTAAAGTGGTTTTGTTCAGAATAAGTGAAAATTTGCTTTGTTCTAGTGAAAAGTTTAGTGCCCATAAAATTTACCTTTTTTGTCCTCACGAAAAATGGTTGTGCACTTCTTGACATGTGAGGGTGCCTAGAGCCTCATTGTGTATCTGCAGTGTGGGATCTGAGGCACTCTGCTTACTAGTGTAGGGAGATTTGGTGATATATATTTTTTTTTTGTTATAATGTTTTGTAAAATGAAGAAATTATTATTATTTTTCCACATTTTGTTTTACATACTGTCACCAATGCAGTACAGCGTCATCATATAACTGGTGTGGCGGTGATCAGGGACACTGGTGACAGTATAAAATTGCTAATACCAGTGAATTTGACTGGTATAAACATCCATTTTTACTGAATGAAACTGATTCATTCAGTATGTATTGTTGTGATTAGCTGTGATTGGCCAGAGCTAATCACATGGTACAAATGGACTGTGATTGGCCCTCTGTACCATGTGATCACTGTGATCAATCACAGCTGGCAACACAGTTCTAAGCAATGAATGGCATGAAAGGAAGTCAATTGTTTACAATTGTCATGTAATCTGTTGTAATTGGTCACAGCGATCACATGGTACCTGCAGCTGGCCGGTACAGTGATTGGTCACTGGTTGTGTCTGGTGACAGATTGAGATGCAGTGCAGCCGCTTGCAAGGCGCGTTCCGGGAGGACATCATATGATGTCCACCTGGAACGATGAAAGTACACTACATAGAGTATTGAGATTCACAGTTTGCTTTGCCATAACCGTTTTTACACTTAAGTACTGAGCAGTTTGCATAAGTGAAGCATTCCATTATTTTGGATGCTAAACAAACAGATTAAGGGGGTGTCGGTGGCAAATGCGCATTTTGTGGGTAATGAGGCCCACTTCTTCTTTAGGTTCTGTGAAAGCAAGTTGAATGACTGTTCAAGTATTGTGGACCACCAACTTCACCAAGCTGAGGAGAGCCAGCCAGACTGCAAGTGGGGTGGGGTTTATAAGATTACACTGTTGGTCGTTGCTTCCTCCTAGGAACATCCACATCATGGGGTGCAGCCACAGCCAGCATTAACAGAAATAAATAGGTGCTTTTACTTTACAATGGAATCCACTGATCATAATAGGACCAAGTGCTGTATATGCATTTGGTTCCCTGGGGGATTCAAAAATAATTTTTGTATGCTGTGGTGATACTTCTTCTTTATAGAAGCGGGATATGTTTTCTTTTTTTTCCACAGATGCTTTAAAGGGAAATGTAAAAGTCCAGAAAAAGGTTCCTAAAGGTACATCCAACTATCAGGCTGCCTGGTTTTTAGATGATGAAGAAAGCGTTGAAGGAGCGGAAAGTGAAGATGATGATGAAGATGATGAAATGGACGATGAGCAGGAAGATGCTATGAATGAAGTGGTATCTGAGGTGCTGAGAAAGAACTGAGCTTACATAATCATATTGATAATTTAATAGTAAAAAAAAAAAGTGTGTTTAATATATGTAGTGTTTTGGTCTCAAAACATGTTTCTTTTAAAAAGCCTTTATAGTACAATACCCTTTATTTTACTAGCATGCTGTAGTTTTGGTTTAATGCAGAGCTGGTTATAAGATATTTGATATCTCGAGTCCTCAACTAGACAATGGTAAATCATGTGTTTGTTGTTCTCCTTTATTGCTGCTACTAGGAGGAGGAAGGCAGTGCAGAAGAAGCAGAGGAAGAAAGTGAGACAGTGACCATCCCAGACAGCACTCGGGATGACAAGTATGATGAAAACGTAGATGAGGTAGAGGAAGAACAGATGCTGGAGAAGTACAAGCAGGAGAGACAGGATGAAATGTTTCCAGATGAGGTGGATACTCCAAGGGATCAGCTGGCTAGAACCAGGTATATTTCAGTTTATGTTCTTTCTGAAAACATGATGAACAGTGCTTGGACTTATTGGTGTTTGACTGTGTAGGTTCCAAAAGTACCGGGGTCTGAAAAGCTTCCGTACATCACCATGGGATCCAAAGGAAAATCTTCCAAGAGACTATGCTCGCATCTTTCAGTTCCATGACTTCTTCAGAACCAGAAAACGTGTCTTTAGAGAACAGGAGGAAGAGAAGAATGAAGGCGTCATGGTAACTTAGTGCATTATTCCTGTACAATGCTTGAAAAATGGTCTGGATGCATAGTCTTTAAAATAGGTAATTAACCGCTTCCCGCCGGCGCCTCCCAGCCCTTTAAGAGTTTCAGAAGCCGGGAGGAGGGTTTAGGGATCAGTTGACCACCGTGACGTGTCATCACAGTGGTCACATGATCAGGAAAGTTCCCGATCGAATGAGCAGGCTGGGACCTTTCTGTGAGTAGCAGACGTGTGCTGGGAGCGCGCAGGGTGCGTGCTCTCAGCACATGTTTTTTGTTAATTGCATGCAAATGTGCGGTCGCTAGGCATCTAGGCCCAGATGCCGAGAGGCTGCACATTTGTGTGCGGCCGGCGTGAAGAAGTTAAGCAAATGTGGTGGCTTTTATTCCTTTAAAGCTGAACTCTAGGCACATATAAAAGTCATAATTTATAGTAGTTGTACATTAATTGACACATCCTTAAATGTATTTTCAATGCAAGCAGTGTAGGTACCTGAATTGGACTTGGTATCTGCCTCTTGCAGTATGCTTTACACTTTAGCAGGCTTAGCTTGGGGGAGAGGAGAAGCAGGAAAAGCAAATCACTGCAGTGCAAGGAAACGAGCAGAGTAACAGGGAGATGAGCTTATTGTCAATGTGGTTTCTCCTTTCACTGCTCATGCAAGGGATGAGGATAGGGAAGAGATCTTTGTATTATTGAACTGCATCTGAGAGAGAAGTTGAGTCGCTTCCTCTTCTGAACAGGGTTATGCTGTTTGGCAGAGCTGTGTAAATCTCAGAACTAGATTGACAGAAATACAAATCCTTTGACAGGTAAAACAGCTCCATCTGTGTGTACACCATCTCTGCATTTGGCGGTTTCTATGGAGTTCAGCTTTCATTTATTATGAAAATGCTAGTTGCCTGGTTGTTATACTAGATCAACCTGTCTAGCTGTCCCAGCTGTTTACTGCATGAATTGGTAATGGAAGGTTTCTATTCTTAGGTTGGTTGGTATGTTACTGTGCATGTAAGTGGAGTACCTGTCTCTGTATTGGAAGACTTCAAACAGAGGGCACCACTTGTCCTGTGTTCACTTCTTCCTCATGAACAAAAGGTGAGTTTTTTTTCAATATATTTCAGGTCACTGAACTGTATCTTTAGAACTTGATGACTTTCATTTGAAGTTTGGATCTGTTTAGCTATATTTCATTGACAGATGTCAGTGGTAAACCTGCTGGTGAGAAGACATCCTGGGAACACTGAACCAGTAAAAGCCAAAGAAGAGATGATCTTCCATTGTGGATTTAGACGTTTCCGAGCATCCCCCCTGTACTCACAGCACACATCTGGTATGAAAACCTCTTGCTTGCTTCCTCATGTTTAAATTTGTCACAGTTGTTATCCCGAACTTTCCAGGAGCTGCTCATGTCCAAGGTTGAAATATACTAATAATAAATAGGGGCATTACATTGTTTTCTGGGGCTAAGGCAGGGGTGTTGAACCTGTGGCCTCAGAGAGCTCTTTTATGTGGCCCTCGACCCCAAACCAGGGAAGTGCATGGCTGGGGTCAGCAACCCATTGATTTGCGATCTGGGCTTGCCGACCCACCATCCCAGAGCATCAGAGTGCATCAAGCCGGTGCCGGCAGTGGAAGAAGCAGGTGGCCGCAGAGGGAGCAGGAATACATAAGCTGTGTAGTGCCGGCTCCTGTCCCAGGAGGAGTGATACCAGGTGCACTTCACCTGAGACCTTACTGACAGCCAGGAGAGTGATGCCGGCAGAAGCTAGAAGAAGAAAAGGAGGTCACTGTATTAAATAACACATACACTGTGCTTTTGCAGTGGGCATATTAGCACCTATAAAAAGGGTTAACAACATTTAGGCTGCTTTCACACTGATTCACAGGTGTACGGCAGTATACCTGCAGTTAGCTGCACTGAGCCATAGACTTCTGAAAGCACACCTAAAGTCCTGAATGCGGGTGCACTTTTAATGTGCAGCACACCCAGAAGATATATTAGACGTCTATGGCAAAGAACAGTTAACCGGCAGGAAAGCCACAGGTGTACTGCCCTGCTCCTGCGGTGTGGGTAAGCCACAGCACATCAGTGTGAAAGCAGCCTTATAGGGAGCTCAGTAAAGGCTTGTTTACAGTAGTGGTTTGGGGGCAGTAAAACCCCATGGTTGAGACCTGTTTTTTTACCATATTGTTCAATATATCATTCAAAATAAAAAATGTTACATTCTGAAATTTTCACTGTAGCCCATGACCGGTTACCAAATCACTTAAGGTTGAGCACCCCGGGTTAAGACATTGTTTATCTTTGAAACCCATGATGTTTTCTGATATAATCTGTACATGAATATTTCCTTCTGCAACTTTATTTTAATTTACTTGTATAATTTTGTCTCTAAATATAACCAAGTAACAGTTGTCTGTTTCTAAAGCCGAGATGACTGCTTGTATTTGGCTTGGCTGATGACTTAAGTCAGGCAGTAAAATTAATAAAATAACAAACATGCTATACTGCTCCTCTGTGAAGTGCTTTTGCACAAATCGTCCCAGAACTTCCTCTTCTGGGATCCCCCACCAGCGTTTTTGGCTGCTCCTCTTCTGCAAGCTTCTTGTTATGAGAGCACTTGTGCAGGTTTCATCCTGAGTCGGGCTGCATGCGTCTATAGACACACACAGCGTGGCTTGGCTTCACCCTCTGCACTCTTCTCACTGGATTGGACTGATAGCAGCAGGAGCCAATAGCTCCCACTGCTGTCAGCCAAGCTTGTGAGGGCATGGAGAAGGGAACTGAGGCCGGGCACAGAGCTGGATTAATCACTTGCCTACTGGGCACTTATACCCCCTTCCTGCCCAGGCCAATTTTCAGCTTTCAGCGCTGTTGCACTTTGAATGACAATTGCGCGGTCATGCAACAATGTACCCATATGAAATTTTTATTTTTTTTTTTTTCAAACAAATAGAGTTTTCTGTTTGTGGTATTTAATCGCCACTGGATGTTTTATTTTTTGCGCTATAAACAAAAAAAGAGCAAAGAATTGGAAAAAAAGGGTTTTTCTTTTTTCTATTATAAAATTTTGCAAACAGGTAATTTTTCTCCTTCACTGATGTGCGTTGATGAAGCGGCACTGATAGGCAGCACAGGTGGGTATAAAAGAAAGGAGTTCAGAAGGCAGAATACTTGCAATGTCCTTGGTTTAGGCAGAGTCCAGTTGTCCGAACAAAAAGATTGCCTTGGCTCTGAAGTCTGTTAGATGTTTCCTGATTGATGTTAAACAAGAGCTGTCTTCTCCAGGCCTGTCAGTCTTTTTCTGTCATATTAAAGGGGTGTTGCCTGAGAACAAATGACCAATCATCCAATTTGGGGATGGGGTGGTAGGCGGTAACCAAGGTTATGACCAAGTCTCCTTACAATTCATACTAAGGTTAATAACCTCCAATAGATACAGGTAGCATCCGAGCAACTGGCAGATTAATATTCAGAATTATATTTCAAACCCAGGGATACCAAACACAGCGTACCCTTGTCACCCAGGAGGGAAGAGACTGCTCTCTTCCCCGTCCTAGATGCCAATATAGTCATGTAAGGCCTTGTTTGACTCGTATTAAAATGATCTATCCAAATATATACGTAATATTAATGTGCCCAGTTCCTGCTGAACTTTGTGAATTGTATGAATGTCTACATGTGGAATGTATGTTTTATGGCACGCTCTAGCCCTAATGACCTATGTTTTACGATTGGCTAGAGGAAAGTGGCTTTCAAAGCAGACCTCTTGCACTAGACTAATTAGCGGTTTACAGCCCTGGAGCTTCATCTATCTGTGTGTTATTTAAGATAAGAGGCCCTTTTGATGTCCATTCAACTTATAGCTATAAATTCCATTTCAAAAGGGAGGAGGGAGGACAGGAGAGACAAAATGGCTGAGGCCCAACAAGATGGCTATCACGTACAGAGTCCATGTCTCTATTGTGCACAATCGTCACAACCATTGTGGACTTTTTTCTATGATATGGAAGTGATAAAGTGGACCAGGAAAGGTACAGCAACAACGACGTATGTTGCTAATGGAGACTTGTAGCTGGTCCTCCCTGGGGCAGCAGAAAGGTTTTTATAAGCAGAATGATTTGCTGTCTCTGCATACCCTGATTTAAGATCACTGGAATTTGTGCATTATTGTCGGAGTGCTGTGCATACCTGTACCCTCTGTTGACAAATGTGATATGTTGAGAATGAATGGCACCAATACTCAGCTCATAATTGATTTAATTTATTTTGTAATTGTCAATTTTATGTTAACCAATTACAAAAACATTAAAAAAGCTAATTTTTCATGAGCCAATAAAAAAATAACCCTTACATGTTCAAATAAAAGTATTTGTATCAACAAATGATCCCCATATACTGTGTTACTAAATGGTCAAAGCAAATGCATAACCACACCATTGTTAGGGAATCATTGGTCCTCCAAAGGTAATGACCTTGGTCTTGTGCAATATTTTAGACCACACCCAATGATACACATCTTATTATAAAGCACAATGTACACTGAAAAACTAATATTCATACATCAAGATCAAACCTTGCAGTAATATAACCCTAATTGGCCCCATGATACTGTACCCCACATAAAATAATAAAAAAAATATGTTGGGCGGATGACCTAGTGCGTGTTTATGTACACCTGTCAAGTTCCAAAACTTTTACTTTTTTTTTTTTTTTTAATTGCACTGGAAGTTGGTACTTTTTACCACTTACAGGGGGGATTTTACAATTTTGCCCTTCAGACTGTACCCCAGGTTACTGCATGTAAACGAGGTATTACTCTTTAAAATATTTTAACTTTGTTTTTCTCTCATTCCAGCGGACAAACACAAATCGGAACGTTTCCTGCGCTCTGATGCTGCTGTAGTTGCTACTGTATATGCTCCCATTACCTTCCCACCTGCCTCAGTACTAATCTTTAAGCAACGCAGTAATGGTAAGGAAGCTGGTGTTTATCACTTTTCTGCTACACAGAGTTAAAGTGGAGTTCCATTGAAAATAAAAATAAAAAAAAAGTCAGCAGCTACAAAAACTGTAGCTACTGACTTTTAAAAAAAAACAGACACCCCCTTCCCCGCCAGTCTGTTTCACCAGCTACCCTGTGTTCCTGGTGCCGGCATCTTCAGTTTGGGCACCCGGCTGTGACAGCTTGTGGCTTTACAGCCATGTGCTCACTGCGCATGCACGAGTAGCGCTGCGCTTTGTGAATGTTCCCGTATTTTCTGCTGGGACCTGTCACGTGTACCAGAACACTATGGGTGGGGGGGTACAACTTCCACTTCTGATCAACTAGGCCGGGTGTCTGCAACCTGCGGCTCCAGAGCCGGATGCGGCTCTTTTTCACCTTTGCTGCGGCTCTTCTGTGTGCCGGGTGCCCGCTCCCCTCCCTCCTCTCGGGCGGCCGCCCCAAAAGTCAGGACTCTGCAGATAGCCCAGCAATGGGCAAACTACGGCCCGGCGGACCTTTTCATCCGGCCCGCGGAGCGTGGCAAACATTGGCTGTCAGGATGTAGGCGGGGCAGCGTGACGAACTCCTCTCCTCTCACAGTCCGCCCTGAAGACCGGAACTGCGCGGGAACACGGCGAGAGGAACGCGCGGAGCAAAGGTAAGTGAATTGACACAATATGGGGAATGAATTACTATATGGGGGATGTATTACTATATGGGGGATGAATTACTATATGGGGGATGTATTACTATATGGGGGATGGGGGGATGAATTATATGGGGGGATGATGTATTACTATATGGGGGATGAATTACTATATGGGGATGAATTACTATATGGGGGATGAATTACTATATGGGGGATGAATTACTATATGGGGGATGTATTTTCAGTTTTAAAAATGTGGCTCTCAAAATAAATTTCAATCGTGGTTTTGGCGAGATTTGGCTCAGTTGAAAAAAAAGGTTGCCCAACACTGACCTAGGCGATCGCAGTGGGAGTGGGTACCTGTCAATTTCACTCCCCCCTAACTCCCCAAAGGTGCCAATCTTTAACGGAGAACGGGAACCAGTCCTAAAAAGTGGAACATCTCCTTTTGGGTGGAGCTCTGCTTTAAATTAAATCGTCACTCTGGGGTAGGCAATAAATATGTATTTCTGTGTGTCACCTTTCCCTTTTGCATTCTTGACCCTAAAAATATTTTTTTTTCCACTGGCACGGTGTTGTTCCATGCTCCTTTTGTGGCCTCAATGTTTGAATTGTGTTGGCAGCACTACTTTGCAGTCTGATAGCTTAGCAACTACAGTCTTCGACATCTTCCCACGATCAATGAAGCAACCCTATTTTTGGGCTAGTGCAGGGGTGTGTATACAAGGGTTATTGTGGGCTTTGAAAGCCAAACACACAGCTAACATTTCTCTATCTGTGCATTACTTGTTGAAACATTGTAGTGCAGCTGGGCAGAAGCACTGTCAAATGAACAAAAGATGTGTCCTTGGATGGTTAATATTCCAGTGGCTCCTGCTGCTCTGAGCCTGTGAGAGTGGGAAGAGGGGAGAGGAGTCGCTGCAGACGTCCACAACGCTGGATTGAGATCAGGCTCAGGTAAGTATTTGGGGGGAGGGCAACTTATCAAAGGTTTTTTTACCTTAATGCAGAGAATGCATAAGGTGAAAAAAACATTTTTCCTTTACAGCCACTTTAAAGTTCTGGGCCTATGTACTATGGCTTTTATCATTACTTAGACCTTTTACTCTTTTGGATAATGGTCTTTTAATTTGTGTAGAATTTAGGAAGGATGTCTGATAAGATTGTTGACTGAGATTGATGGACAATGATGGATGGAAATTTTAGATGTGTAGGCACCATGTAAGTGCACTTTGCAAAGCAGAACTAAATTGGTAATATTTCTGCATTGTAGGGATGCATGATTTGATTGCCACTGGATCCCTACTAACTGTGGACCCTGACAGGACGATAATCAAGAGGATAGTTCTTAGTGGTCATCCATTTAAGATCATGAAAAAAAACGGCTGTAGTCCGCTACATGTTCTTCAACAGAGGTATATTTGTAAATTATGAAATTTTTTTTGAGGTGGTGGGGGAATAGTAGTGTATGTGGATGGGAGTCCACTGATCTTGAGCTTTAGCTGCACACTCTGCACTTTGAACTTTATCTGTGAGTCCCCTTGGGACCTTGATATTAACACAAAGGAATTCCAGTCTCCCATTATGTAAACAGTGAGATCTCTCAGTGGTGTCCATAGTTTTTGGTGGAATAATATCCAGCTGTTCAGATTAAATGTTTCTTTAAATGTACCACTGCATTCAGTACAAGATTTCACTAGCAGGTGCTGTGGGCAAAAATCTGTAACTACGACTTCTCCCTTGGGTAAACCCTGTAGCTGTAGGAGATGTCTAATGATATAAATTTTCCAAAAGTTGTCTTGCCATTGTGCCTGGGGAGCCCATGAACTCAGTCATGTATAGAATATGTAATGGTTTTGATTAAACATGGATCTCTAGTTTTGGGGTGCAGGTGAAATTTCTGTAGGATCATCACTATGGGAAATGGGAGTACAAGGTTATAATGAAAGGCACATATCTACCCAAGAGAGGTGTAACACTAATGTTGAACAATTACCTTTTTCTCTTCTGACTCAAATGATTGTATTTTTACAGAGGATGTACTGTGGTTTAAGCCAGTAGAATTGCGTACAAAGTGGGGTCAAAGGGGACATATCAAGGAACCTCTAGGTGAGTACCGTGTACATTAAAAAAAAAAAAAAAAAGCATATAGTGAGTGTGTGTATATGTGTACACACCTCACAGAAGTGAGTACACCCCTCACATTTTTGTAAATATTATATTCTATCTTTTCATGTGACAACACTGAAGAAATCACACTTTGCTACAATGTAAACTATTGAGTGTACAGCTTGTATAACAGTGTAAATTTGCTGTCTCCTCAAAATAACTCAACACAGCCATTAACCACTTGCCATCTAGAGGATTTACCCCCTTCCTTACCAGGCCTTTTTTTTTTCTACTCGGCGCTGCACTAATTCAACTGATAATCACGTGGTCATGCAATGCTGCACCCAAACAAAATTTACGTCCTTTTTTTCACACAAATAGAGCTTTCTTTCGGTGGTATTTGATCACCTGTGCACTTTTTATTTTTCACGCTATAAACAAAAAAAGACCAAAAATTTTGAAGAAAAACTATATTTTTTACTTTCAGCTATAAAAAGTATATAGTAAACTTAAAGTTAGATATAAATTTAGGCAAAAATGTATTCTGCTACATGTTTTTGGTCAAAAAAATCCCAATAAGTGTTTGATTGCTTTGTGTGAAAGTTATAGCGTCTACAAACTATGGTATAGATGCTGCAATTGACGCCATTTTTTTTGCTATACAGCGCTGCGCTAGTTTAACGGACAATTGCACAGTCATGCAATACGGTACATAAATGAAATTTATGTCTTTTTTTTTTTTCACACAAATAGAGCTTTATTTTGGTGGTATTTGACCACCTGTGCACGTTTTTATTTTTGGCGCTATAAACAAAAAAAACATTTTTGAAGAAAAAATTTTTTTTTTTGAAAAAAAACAATATTTTCTCATTTTGGTCATAAAAAATATCCAAAAAAACTAAAATTTTGTCAAATTTAGGCCAAAATGTATTCTGCTACATGTTTTCGGTTAAAAAAATCCCAGTAAGTATAAATTTATTGCTTTGTGTGAAAATTATAGCGTCTACAAACTATGGGTATAGATAATGGAATTTACACAGCTTTTACTTTCTGACTGCCCATCACATTTCATGAGGTGCTAAAATACCAGGATAGTACAAACACCCTCAAATGACCCCTTTTTTGGAAAGTAGACACCCTAAGCTATCTGCTGAAAGGCATATTGAGTCCATGGAAGATTTATTTTTTTTCCACAAGTTTCTGGAAAATGACAGAAACATTTTTTTTTTTTTTTTTTTTTTTACACAAAGTTGTCATTTAAATGATTTATTTCTCACACAAGCCATGGGTATATGTGGAATTACACCCCAAAATACATTCTGCTACTTCTACTGAGTATGAGGATACCACGTTTGAGACTTTTTGGGAGCCTAGCCACATACAGGAGCCTGAAATCCAATGACCACTTTGAAAGCCTGAAGGTGCGTAACTTCCTCATTTCACTTCCTCAATACCTATCACAGTTTTGAAGGCCCTGACATGCCAGGATAGCACCTGCGTTTACAAATGGCAGGAAAGATACTGGGATTTTTTTTTATAATAATAATTGCGGCAATCAGCAACTTTTGGTTGTGATCAGCGATTTATGACAGTGATCAGCGACTTATAGCGGGACTGCAGCGGACATTTTGACACCGGGGGGGGGGGACTGACTGACATCCCAGTGACACCAATACAGTGATCAGTGAAAAAAAAAAAAAAACTGACACTGTACTAATGGCACTGGGGAGGAAGGGGTTAACTTTTTTATTCAATGAAAGGGGTTAACTGTGTGAGGGGAGTGTTTTACTAGTGGGCGGAGGTGTGTCCTTCACAAGGAACACACTGTCCCGAAAGCTAATCTCTGCTCTCTCTGACAGTGCGTTAGGAGTTGACAGGGAGCAGAGCTACAGTGTAAACACTGCAGCCGTGCTCCCTGTCGGTGATTGCCGGGACCCGGTGATTGCCGGGACCCGGTGATTGACACCCGCGATCGGCGGCACAGGGAGGGCGGGCTCGCTCCTTGTGCGCGCCCCGTTTTGCTAAATGATGTTTTAAAACGGCGTTTAGCACAGCGGAGCCGCCCTGCCGCAGTGTATACACTGCAGCTGGTAGGCAAGCGGTTAATGTCTACACCGCTGGCAACAAAATTGAGTACACCCCTAAGTGAAAATGTCCAAATTGGGCCTAATTAGCCATTTTCCATCCCTGGTGTCATGTAATTCGTTAGTGTTTCAAAGTCTCAGGTGTGAATGGGGAGCAGGTGTGTTAAATTTGGTGTTTATTGCTCTCACTCTCTCATTCTGGTCACTGGAAGTTCAACATGGCAAAGAACTCTGAGGTTCTGGAAAAAAGAATTGTTGCTCTACATAAAGATGGCCTAGGCTATTAGAAGATTGTCAAGACCCTGAAACTGAGCTGCAGCAGGGTGGCCAAGACCATACAGTGGTTTAACAGGATAGGTCCCATTCAGAACAGGCCTCACCATGGTCGACCAAAGAAGTTGAGTGCATGTGCTCAGCGTCATATCCAGAGGTTGTCTTTGGGAAATAAGACATGTGAGTGCTGCCAGCCTTGCTGCAGAGGTTGAAGGGGGGGGGTCAGCCTGTCAGTGCTCAGACCATATGCATCAAATTGGTCTGTATGGCTGCTGTCCCAGAAGGAAGCCTTTTCTAAAGATGATGCACAAGAAAGCCTGCAAACAGTTTGCTGAAGACAAGCAGACTAACAACATGGATTACTGGAACCATGTCCTGTGGTCTGATGAGACCAAGATAAACTTATTTGGTTCAGATGGTGTCAAGTGTGTGTGGCGGCAACCAGGTGAGGAGTACAAAGACAAGTGTGTCTTGCCTACAGTCAAGCATGGTGGTGGGAGTGTCATGGTCTGGGGTTGCATGAGTGCTGCCGGCACTGGGGAGCTACAGTTCATTGAGGGAGCCATGAATGACAACATGTACTGTGACATACTGTAGCAAAGCATGATCCTCTCCCTTCGGAGAATGGGCCGCAGGGCAGTATTCCAACATAACGCCCCCAAACACACCACCAAGACGACCACTGCCTTGCTAAATATGCTGAGGGTAAAGGTGATGGACTGGCCAAGCATGTCTCCAGACCTAAACCCTATTGAGCATCTGTGGGGCATCCTCAAACGTAAGGTGGAGGAGCGCAAGGTCTCTAACATCCACCAGCTCTGTGATGTTGTCATGAGGAGTGGAAGAGGACAGTGGCAACCTGTGAAGCTCTGGTGAACTCCATGCCCAAGAGGGTTAAGGCAATACTGGAAAATAATGGTGGCCACACAAAATATTGACACTTTGGGACCAATTTGGACATTTTCACTTAGGGGTGTACTCACTTTTGTTGCCAGCGGTTTAGACATTAATGGCTGTGTGTTGAGTTATTTTGAGGGGACAGCAAATTTACACTGTTATACAAGCTGTACACTCACTACTTTACATTGTAGCAAAGTATCCTTTCTTCAGTGTTGTCACATGAAAAGATATAATAAAATATTTATAAAAATGTGAGGGGTGTACTCACTTCTGGGAGATACTGTATATACACACACAGTGTTTATAAAAAGTCTACACACCCCTGTTAAAATGTCAGGTTTCTGTGTTGTAAAAAAAAAATGACAAAGATAAATTATTTCAGAACTTTTTCACCTTTTAATGTGACCTATAAACTGTACAACTCAGTTGAACAACAAACAAATCTTTTAGGTGAAGGGAATGAAAAAATAAAAAAATAAAATAATATGGTTGCATAAGTGTGCACACCTTTAAACTAATACTTTGTTGAAGCATCTTTTGATTTTATTACAGCACTCAGTCTATTTAAGTATGAGTCTATCAGCATGATACATCCTGACTTGGCAATATTTGCCTCACTTTTCCTTGCAAAAAACACTCCAAATCTGTCAGATTGCGAGTGCATCTCCTGTGCACAGCCCTCTGCAGATCACCCCATAGATTTTCGATCAGATTCAGGTCTGGGCTCTGGCTGGGCCATTCCAAAACTTTAATCTTCCTTTGCTGATTTCGGATGTATGCTTTGGGTCATTGTCATGCTGAAAGATGAAGTTCCCCTTCATGTTGAGTTTTCTAGCAGAAGCCTGAAGGTTTTGTGCCAATATTGACTGGTATTTGGAACTGTTCATAAATTCCCTCTACCTTGACTAAGGCTAAGGTTCCAGCTGAAGAGAAACAGCCCTAAAGCATGCTGCTCTGCCACCACCATAATTCGCTGTGGGTATGGTGTTCTTTTGGAATTATGGCCAAAAAGTTCAGCCTTGGTTTCAGCAGACCACAGCACATTTTTCCCACATGCTTTTGGGAGACTTAAGATGTGTTTTCACAGAATGTAGCCAGGCTTGGATGCTCTTCTTCATAAGAAAAGGCTTCCGTCTTGCCACTCTACCCCATAGCCCAGACATATGACGAATACAGGAGATTGTTGTCACATGTACAACAGCCAGTACTTGTAAGATGTTCCTGCAGCTCCTTTAATGTTGCTGTAGGCCTCTTGGTATCCTCCCAGACCGGTTTTCTTCTCGTCTTTTCATCAATTTTGAAGGGACGTCCAGTTCTTGGTAATGTCACTGTTGCGCCATATTTTCTCCACTTGATTATGACTGTCTTCACTGTGTTCCATGGTATATCTAATGCCTTGGAACTTCTTTTGTACCCTTCTCCTGACTGATACCTTTTAACCGTGAGATCCCTCTGATGCTTTGGAAGCTCTCTGTAAACCATGGCTTTTGCTGTAGGAAAATGTCAGAAAGACCTACTAGAACAGCTGAACTTTATTTGGGGTTAATCAGAGGCACTTTAAATGATGACAGGTGTGTACTGACTCATATTTAACATGATTTTGAATGTGATTGCTTAATTCTGAACACAGCTACATCCCCAGTTAAGAGGGTGTGCACACTTATTCAACCACATTATTGTAGTTTTTTTATTTTTTACCCTTGCCCCCCCCCCCCCCCCCCCAAAAAAAAAAATTCAGTTTGTTTTTCAATTGAGTTGCACAGTTTGTAGGTCACATTAAAAGGTGGAAAAAGTTTTGAAATCTACAAGTCTAAACTAATCCCTTGTCTTTTTTTTTTTTTTTTTTCCTCACCTACCAGGAACACATGGCCACATGAAGTGTTATTTTGATGGGCAGCTGAAGTCCCAGGACACCGTATTAATGAACTTGTATAAGCGTGTTTATCCTAAATGGACTTATGACCCACATGTACCTTTCCCAGTGACTTGGGTGAAGAATGAGGTTGAGATTGATCCTGCTGAAGTAGAGATGGATTAGTTTGTTCAACACCCAAATATATTTGTGCCTCAGACAACATTCAGTTATGATTTGTATTTATTTTATAAGTGAATAACAAGGAAAGGAAACAAGTCAGCAGTTTTCTTAATTTTAAGATAAGTGAATAACATTAAAAGGAAAGAATAATCAGTTTTGTTTGTGCGTAGAGAAGTTAGATTTTGTTTTAGACATTCAGTTGCTCTGTTTCAGAGGCTCCTTCACCCAGTCTACGTTGCTCAAGTCCAGGTTGCCTCCACATAGAATTATACAAATGTTCTCTAAATTTGTGTTCTCTCTTGAAACCGCTTGGAAAGGACAGCAGCCAAACCAAGACCAGCTGTGGGTTCAATTAGAAGCTTCATCCTCTCCCACACCAACTGCGTTGCATGCTGTGTAGAGACAAAGTTGAGGAAAAGCTAAAACAATGGATTTTACAGTGTGTCTTAAAGACGCTTTATTCAGTGGGACATCTTGAGGTGTAGACTTTATGATGTCTATAAGGCCCCTTTCAGATGTTGCAGATTCTGCTCTGATCAGCAGGAGATCCGCTCACAGATTTGCTGCTGATTGGAGCAGAGCGAGTGGATGACACATCCATTTCCGCTCAGTATCTGCTTTATGGGCTGCTGGGAGTAAACAGACTCTTGTCTGTTCTACACCTGACTATCCTCCGATCAGATCTGCCTAAATGGAAGAGGATGGATCCCCTTCTGTGTTTTTTTTTGTTTTTGTTTAGTGGACCAGATCAGACCCAGAGGTAGGATCTATGTTCTGTGGATAGGGCTGCCCTACCTGCAGAAATGCAGAGAAATTTCCAGACCCCCCCTTTTCAAAATAGTACTGCACCACAATGTGGTTTTCTTTTTAAAAAAAAAGTTTCTGCACTGGAGGCCCTTTACTGTAAAGGGCCTTTTCTCATTCTTCACAATGACAAGGCTGTTTTATACCAAAGACCATCCTTTTTTCTGAAAATGGTTTCAGTGAGGACTCCCAGCTTCATGCCCTGCTAATAAGCATCCTAAGAAAGCCGCCTTACATTGCCTTAAGGTAGTCAACGCCATTGTAGAACACCTCAAAGCTACTGCTCCAATCAGATGGAAAGATTCCATTTTGTTCTGGACCTTGCAAGGGACACAATGCTTCTAATTAATTCTGAAAGTGAAATCTTCTACACTTCCACATGCCCATTCCACTAGATCGGTGGACGTTTCATATGCATTTTGAAATCAAGCCTCAAAATTTTGAGCTTGCTTGTAAATTCCATATCTTTGTGTACAGTACAAGACACCCTCCCTTGGTTTCTCTATTGCTTGCTAAAAATCTAAGCACTCATGGAGTGGGGTTGGGTTATAGGGGAGGCATCCAGGTGGTATGTCCTTTAAAGCTTTGCCAGTGTCCAATCACCTGAATGTACACTCCTATAACCCACGGCATGTTAATATTTGCCCTGTAATGTACTCCAAGATATGGAATTTACAGGCAAGGCACAATTCCTCTTTTGTGTTCATTTAGATTATGAGAATAAATACACTGTCAGTTTTGTGGCATTTGAGTATATCACATTTATTTGTATGAAGATCTGTTTTCTTGGTCAATGGGGTGTACTTATATTTGTAAATGATTTTACTTTATATTCAATAGGGTAGGCACTTACTCTACAAAGTGCTTGGTAAATCTAAAAGAGATTGTACAGTTAGGATGTAAAATGTTGTCAGCTTTACAGCCGACTAAACATGTTCATATGCTTTCTCTTTTTGGAAAAGCAATACCGCCATTAACTCCTTATGTCAATTGGCATAGATTTTATTAAAGCAGTATTAAACTCAAAAGCAGAAATTTTATATTGTAACTTACCAATCCTAAATAAGATGGCTGCATTTGCTTTCTTTTTTTTTTTTTAGGCTTTATTTTTACCTAGTGAACGGTCCAGTAATATATTTCCTGTCTTAGTGGTCTCCGCTTTGGATGAAGGAGCAGTGGAGACACTTTTGAAAACCTCATTGTCAATATGGCAAGAGGGTAGTGTTAGATGCAGTAGCAAATGTAGATGGATTTGACTAACAAATTAAAGCAGAACTTCTATTTCAAGTGGTTACAGCAACAGTTTTTTTTCTCTTTTGGGAAAAAGGATTTACATAAAAGCTGCTCATTGTTAGCATACCTATCAATGTTAAATGGCTCGTATCATCCTGCCACTTTTTGTATCATTGCCACTTTTGCTGAGAATTATAGTTTGTTAAAGGAATTCTGAAAATGGCAGACTTGCTAGCAGGTTCACCAGGTGCAAATAAAGGAGAAAAAAGCTTAAATTAAAAACAAATGCAGCCACCACATCCAAGAATTTGAAATCTGCAATAGAATATATTTATGTCTTTAGGTTTAAGAGTGCTTTAAGTTTGACCGGCAGATTACACAATTCTTAGCTCCACCAACATCAGTCAGAAGTTTGGTCACTTATTTTCATACAGGGCAGCCAAGGGAGAAGATCATGAACCAAACTGAAAATCATTTAGAATTAGCAAGGCACAATCCGGTACAACAGTTGAAAATAGTGCTGTCTTAGCACTATGCTTTTAACGTTAAAGTTAGACCTGTACCAAGATTTACTGTATACGGAAAATGTCATTGGTGAAATGCTGACCTGGTAAAAGCATACAGTTTAGGAGTTTTGACTTCATTAGCTGCATGCTTAAGGGAAAGTGCTGATTGCAGAGACAGTAACAAAACTAGCATTTTTAAAAGATTAGTAGTAGCATCCCTTAGATCTCTATTGTGTATCACAGGATAATGTGCATCTTCATAGCAATTACGATAGGGTTATGCTGCCACCTTCAGGTGACTAGACACTGGCAAAAAAGACAGGAATACCTGTCCACAGGCATTATCCCTCGCAGCTCAGCACAGCCTCAGTTTTTTGCTAGTGTCTTTCCGCACAATTGCTCTTTTCTAACTTTTTTATTAAATTTTCCATTGGAAACGGAAGAGTGGCATATTTGGATCTATTGCTCATGGCCAAGAGAAATAGTACTGGAAGAACAGTCTGGATAAAAACGCACAGATGTGTCCCAAAGGAAATAAGTGACTGGTATATGTCAACTGTGATTGGTGGAGAAAAAACTCACTGCTGCCATGGTAAAAAACACCGGTTTGTGGAAAGTATGAATAGGAGCCAGGCACTGTGTGGTTTTGTGATAAAAGTAATACACCTTATATGGAGGTGTGCCTTTAATAATTCATATGGTAAAAAATTGATAACCAGCCTGTGGCTTTAAGAAGCCAGGTTCCAAGATGGACGGCCCATCCGCTCAGAGGGAAGTAGTGGAGTAGAATGCCTGTCAGTGCAGGGACCACGTCTATCCGACGTCCCAGATGACGTCACCACGATGTGGAGAGACTGAGGGGAGGACCTCTTGCTGGAGCTGCAGCTTTAAAAGGAAGAGGCCGGTTGCCAGGACAAGATATTTCGCGCGCATGCGCTTTATCAAGTTCCTCCCCTCCGTCTCTCCACATCATGGTGACGTCATCTGGGACGTCGGATACACGTGGTCCCTGCACTGACAGGCATTCTACTCCACTACTTCCCTGTGAGCGGACGGGGCCGTCCATCTTGGAACCTGGCTTTCTAAAGCCACAGGCTGGTTATCTATTTTTTACCATATGAATTATTAAAGGCACACCTCCATATAAGGTGTATTACTTTTATCACAAAACTACACAACGCCTGGCTCCTGTTCATAAGATAAATAGTACTTAGACCTTGCAAAGGAATGGCCTGCAATGTTGCCATTTGGCACTGGACCCTATGCAATTCTATATTGCCTGGTAAACCAGTAGAGTGCTCTGCAGGTCCAGGGCAGTGATCTCCAGTAGGGAATCATGTCCCCAATGGCCCTAGTGGTGTGCCTGCAGAGATAGTTTGGACCTTCCTTGGGGTTCTGCAGTGCAGAATGAGTGTCCTAATGGTTGTACTCTGCTGGGGGGGGGGGGGGGGGGGAGAGAATTTTGTTCCCCACGTCTCCTAGATCCTGTCCTTTGCTCCTTTTCCTTTATACAGCCCAGGTTACTGGACTGAAGTTGTGGCAGCTGAATATCTTCACAGCGTGGGACAGGAGAATGCAAGGACACGAGAATGCAGTCACAGGACAAAACTCACTGGATTGGTGGATTTCTGCGCACATGAGAAAATCATTCCTTCCTCTCAGAAAATTCCAAAGACTGATGCGCAGTCTCTGGTCAGCTGGGATGGAATCCTAGAGAACCTCTCACTTCAGGGAACTTTGTTGTCTCAGGAAACAATGTTTGTGATCAACACCCTGGAACTGAAGGTGATTTGGTCTACTCTATGCATTGGTTGGAGAGAGTCCAGATGGACAACCACACAACAGTTACATAAATCTCCAGGGAGGAACCATAAGTTGCACAGCTCAGAAGGAAGAAAATTTGATTCTTTCTTGGCCAAAAATCATGTCTCAGCTCTGTCTGCCGTACACATTCCCGAAGTGGAAAATTGTCAGACACAGTTTTCCAACCATCAGCTTCTGATTCCAAGGGAGTGATCCCTTGATCCAGGGGTATTCAAGGTGCTCTATCAAAGGTGGGGGATGCCAGATGTGGCTCTTGTAGGATCCAGGTTCAGCCCAAAACTGGACAGATTCATGTCCAGCACCAGGCCTTCAAGTGCTCATGGTGCATTTCCTGATGATGCTATGGGACCAGTTCTTCCTAATTTTTGCCTTTCCTCCACTACAGCTTTACAGGATATGGCTGGAAGGTACTTCCAGTGCTTTTAATCCACCCAACCTTTTGTTGCAGGCTCCAAGCTTTTCTAGTTGGTTGCTGGATTTAACGACATGGCTGTAGAAGCCAGGGTTTTTAGAGACAGGGAGTCTCTAACTTGGTTATCCCCATGATTCTATAGGCTTTGCAGAATATTTACCATCGGACTTGGAAGTCTTTTTTTTTTTTGCCTGATGTGAGACTGTGAAGCTGCATTCCACAAG